CATCAAGATGACATGGGGCCTTGCCTCCAAAGCACTCAGCATAGCTACTGGACTGAGGCTTGGACTCTGAAACATTAGTTGTTATTGTTTTTTGTTTGTTTGTTTGTTTTTGGTTTTTTTTTTTTTTGAGACGGAGTCTCGCTCTGTCGCCCAGGCTGGAGTGCAGTGGCCGGATCTCAGCTCACTGCGAGCTCCGCCTCCCAGGTTTACGCCATTCTCCTGCCTCAGCCTCCCGAGTAGCTGGGACTACAGGCGCCCGCCACCTCGCCCGGCTAGATATTTTGTATTTTTTAGTAGAGACGGGGTTTCACCGTATTAGCCAGGATAGTCTCGATCTCCTGACCTCGTGATCCGCCCGTCTCGGCCTCCCAAAGTGCTGGGATTACAGGCTTGAGCCACCGTGCCCGGCCAGTTGTTATTGTTTTTAGCTACAAAATGGGTGAGCCATGATCCCTGTCCTCCAGTACCTTGAAGTCTGTTAGATTCCCTGCCTATTAACATTAGGGTTGTTTCATTTAACCGCCGAGTCTTGGTTTCTTCATCCGTGTGATGGATTTCATAAGCCCCATCTCCCTGGATAATTTTGAGACTTACGTGGCACAGAGTAGATGTGCCAAGTGTTTGTCATTCTCTTGGTTGACTGGCAAGAGCTTGGGACTCAGTGGCAGAGGTGTCTGGGCTGAGAAGGGCATTTCAGTGTGGGGGGCGGGGATCTCAATGGGGCCTGGTTTGGGATGTTGGGAAGGGAGCATGGCCTCTGGGCTGGGGGGAGTTGGATGAGCGTGCTGTGCGGGTGAGGGTGGGCAGGCAGGATGCCTAAGGGGGCACTGGGCCTACCCTGCTTGCTTTGAGCCTGCCTGCGTTCCTCTCTTGCAGGTTCATCTATGAGTTCGAGCACTTCAATGGTGTGGCTGAGCTGCTGGAGATCCTAGGAAGGTGATTCTCCCTGGGCCTCAACTGGAGCTCCGGATTCTGGAAGGAGGGACTGGGGCCAGGTCAACTGAGCCCTCTTCCTCTCTTCTGCCTCCTCCTCAGCATCATCAATGGCTTTGCGCTGCCCCTGAAGACGGAGCACAAGCAGTTCCTGGTTCGCGTCCTGATCCCCCTGCACTCTGTCAAGTCGCTGTCTGTCTTTCACGCCCAGGTGAGGCCCAGGCCTGGCCCCGCTGCAGCAGGGGCTCCAGACAGTCAGGGTTGCCAGTGGGTCCTGGAGGTCAGATCCTCCAGGGATCCTATCTCACCATTTTTGTTTTTATAATTCTGTTCCATTTACCTTAGAGAATTCCCACTGGCACTTTAAGGCTAACCTCAGGTATCAGCTCTGTGAGGCCAGGCTTTTCTTCTCTATCCTCCCTTGGCAGAATGAAATTCTCCTCCCTCTATATTCCCAAAGATTTGGATACACAAATCTATTATGGGAGATTTTGATACAAAAATTGTTTTTTTGAGACAAAACCCTACTCTGTTGCCTAGGCTGGAGAGGAGTGGTACGAACATGGCTCACTGAATCCTCTACCTCCTGGGCTCAAGCAGTCCTCCCTCCTCAGCCTCCCGAGTAGCTGGGACCACAGATGTATGCCACATGCCTGGCTAATTAAAGAAAAAAGTTTTTTTGTAGAGACAGTGTCTTGCTATGTTACCTAGGCTGGTCTGAAACTCCTGGGCTCAAGTGATTCTGCCGCCTTAGCCTCCCAAAGTGCTTGGGCTACAGGCGTGAGCCACCACACTAGCCATATTATGGAACCTTTTGCAAAATTTATAAAGATGAGTTTGTTGACCATCCCCCCTCCCCGTGAGATCATAGTTGTATTCCCAGCACACTGAGTGTCATGCCTGGTACATCCTAGACAGGTGATAAATGCTTGGTGAATAAGAAAGTAACAGGCCGTGGGGGAGCAGTGTCTGGCATTCTGTCCTGGGCAGCAAGTCCTTGGCACCTGATGCCTTCCTGACCCATCTTCCTTCTCTCCACCTCTGCCCCCTTGCAGCTGGCATACTGTGTGGTGCAGTTCCTGGAGAAGGATGCCACTCTGACGGAGCACGTGAGTACCTCTGGGGGCTAAGGCAGCCTCTCACCTCTGCAGGCGTGACTCCTGTCTGTCTTACCTCCCACAGGTGATCCGGGGGCTGCTCAAATACTGGCCAAAAACCTGCACCCAGAAGGAGGTATGAAGAAGGGCTTTGATGCCCACCAGAGGGAGGCTGGGAGGGCTCGGCCTCTAGAAGGCAGTCAGGTGTGTGTATGTGTAGGGGGAGATGTGAGCTGCTGCCCCTCTGTCCCTACTCCCCTCCCCACCCCACCCAGGTGATGTTTCTGGGGGAGATGGAAGAGATTCTTGATGTCATCGAGCCCTCCCAGTTTGTGAAGATCCAGGAGCCCCTTTTTAAGCAGGTGGCTCGCTGTGTTTCCAGCCCCCATTTCCAGGTATGAGGCAGGACAGGCGGGGACGGGAGCAGGGCTGGCCTGGAAAGGTTGGGTAGCTGACCTAATACAGCTCCCTTTGCCCTCAGTTTCTCCTCCAATCCCGGGTCTGGTAATGGGGAGATGCCGGACTTAGGGTCAGGAGACCTAGGGTGAAGCCTCCGACCTGCCTTCCACTGGCTGAGGGGCCTTGAGCAAATCACTGCGCCACTCTGATTCTGATTAAGCTTCTGCAGCTGTAAAATGGGCCAACAACCTCTTCACAGGGTGGGGATGAGGATGGAAGAGATTGTGAGTGTAAACATGTTTGGTAAACTGAAGTGTGCTCCATAATGGGATGGAGGACTGTTATCGCTTTTCCCTTTTTGCTAGTGGCCTTAGATTTCATTAGACTCGCTTTGGGATGCAGCCAGGCTTCCCCACGCCATCCCAGCTAACTCTAACTCATGTTCTACTGCAGGCACGTGCAGACTTCCTCTCGTTCTTATGGGTCATAACCCAGTGGAAGTCAAGTCTTCCTCACAGTGATTCTGGCCCTTCGGTTCATTAAACACCTGAAAGTCTAGTATCTCATTGGATTCTTATAACATCCTGTGGACATAGGTATTATTAGCCCATTTTACAGATGAGAAAACTGAGGCTGGGAGGTTAAATGCCTCTCCCAAGGTCACGTGGCGTAGTAGAGTCTGTAGTGGTTAGGATTCCCCCGCAGCATTGGATTCCATATCTAATGCTCTTTTCCCTTCAACACTGTTGCTTCCTCCAGGGCTCAGATGAGCCTTGAAGGTGGGGTGTGTGAAGGTCAGGGGGCCTGGGCATTGAGGTAGTGATGGACACCAGACCTTGCACACAGAGAGAAGCCACTGCCCTCACTCTGCCATCTTGTCTGCCCCAGGTTGCAGAGCGGGCTCTGTATTTCTGGAACAATGAGTATATCCTAAGCCTCATTGAGGACAACTGCCACACTGTGCTGCCTGCCGTGTTTGGGACCCTCTACCAAGTCTCCAAGGAGCACTGGAACCAGTGAGTGCCAGGCCGTGACCTAACTCACAGAAACTGGGACCAGGGCCAGCCAGTCCAGACCCTAGGGTTACTCCTAGCTGGAGAGTATCAGAGAAAGCGTCAAAAGATGGCCCAGGGGTGGTGAAAAGGACAGGGAAGTGGGCAGTGCTTGTGTTCAGGGTGGAATGCTGCATGTGAAGGGCAGGGAAAGGGAGAGGTGGGCAAACCAAAGCTGTTTCATCTCCTCGTCCCTCCTTGACCCTGCCAAGAACCATCGTATCGCTGATCTACAATGTGCTCAAGACCTTCATGGAGATGAATGGGAAGCTGTTTGATGAGCTCACGGCCTCCTACAAGCTGGAAAAGCAGCAGTGAGTGTTGGGGGCTGGGAGTGGGGGAAGGGAGAAGAGCAGGGAGGAATCAGACCCCCATGACTGGAGGGAACCTGAGGACCACCCCGAATCCTATCTGATCAGACGTGCAAGACTCTGCGTGCTCCTGCCATCCTATGCCTGTCTGCCCCTGTGTCCTCCCATCATTCTTCGAGTAGCTCGGACTTGTTCTGAATCCCTGTAGCTTCCTACAGAAGCCAGAACCACTCAGAGCCCCACCCATCGTCTTCTCCGTGACTGCAGGCTGGGATCTGTCTCTCTCTGCTCTCTTCCCTCAGCAGAGGGTTTTTATGGAGTCACAGAACAAAAATGGTTCCATGCCTTCCCATTGCCGCTGGGGTGGTAGTGAGGGAGTCTGGACTGTGGGGGGCCCCAGGAAAGGGAGCTGCCTCACCCTCTCTCCCCAGGGAGCAGCAGAAGGCCCAGGAGCGTCAGGAATTATGGCAAGGTCTGGAGGAGCTGCGGCTACGCCGGCTACAGGGGACCCAGGGGGCCAAGGAGGCCCCTCTCCAGCGGCTTACACCCCAGGTGGCCACCAGTGGGGGTCAGAGCTAGACAGCACCTCAGAAGGGGAGAAGCTAAACCCAGAGCTGTCAGTCCCTCTATCCCTTCTCCTGTCCAGGGGCCCAGAGAGAAACACACCTACCCCTGGCCTTGCCAGAGTGGCTTCTGAGGACTCCCTGCCCAGCCCAGCTTTCACTGGGGGGAGACGAGGAGAGGCAATGGTGGTCTTGGCAACAGAATGCTCAGCCCCTCGCAGCAGGACTTGACAAGGGCAAGCTTGACCAGGAAGCTGCCATCAGGGATCTTCCCCTGCCCCACAAAGCTGGGCTCCGGGCTGCAGGCGGGCTCCCACCCTCTGCTCCTGGCCTTGGGCAAGGGCACTCAGCGCCTCGCCTGCCCCTGCCTCTGCCAGCGTGAGGTCCTTCCTCATCCCCACCATGGGGTCCATGGTCTATTTATTCTCGCCCAGCTCACCCTCTACACAGACACTGTCCTGGGTGCACACTCCTCCCCTCCCTTGCTGTGTACTTCCTTGTCCCCTTTTTATTTATTGGGCAGGGGGAGGGTGAGGGCACAGGCAAGAAGAGATTCACAGTGTCCTGGGGGTAAGGGGGGGGTCACAGTAATCATGGTCTACCCCTCTTTCCCTGGCTGTGGGTAGACTTAATAAAGAGAGAAACTCAAGAACTGCTTGCTTTATTTAGGGGTAAGGGCAAAGAGGGAAGTAAAATGATAAAGATTGGTTTAGAAGGGCCAGGCAAAGGCAGGGAAGAAAGCAGAAACTCCCCTCTTCTCAGGTGACAGTCACGAAATCTTACAAAGTGTCAAAGCTGGAACAACCCTCCCTTATTTAAAAAAATTCCATAGCAAGTAACCAGCAGGGTTGGAGCTCCTTCCGGTTTTTGAAGCTCGAACACAGGTTTCCCCCACCAGAATGTCAAGTCCTGTGACCCAGGGGAGGAAGGAGGGGAGAGGATGGGCTAGTAGCGAGAGAGGCGACACATGTCACACTGGCAGGCCCGGGCAGTGAAGATCTCGAGCTCCTCCCTCCGGCTCCCCACACACTGCAGCTGTACTCTGACCTGCGGGAGAGGGGAGTCTGTGCTGCAGTCCCCTTTCTCAGGGCTGTCTTAGATCTCCGTCTCCCGAGTCTTCCCCCAACCCCAACGTCCATCCATCGGGCTCGGGCCCTCCTCACCTTCTTCAGGCCACTGATGGTGCAGCACTGAGAGACGGAGGTGATGTTGTGTCGGTAGCCACTGGCCACCAGCACAGAGTACCGAGAAGGGAAGGCGCTGGACTCACAGTGACCCACACAGGCCTGTGCCATGTGGGAGCCCTGGCAGGTGCCTTGGCGGTCACTTCGCACTGTCACAATGAAGGCTAGAGGGAGACAGGCAAGCAGTAGACGGCGCCTCTGCCAAGGTTTGCCTCGCCCCAGCTCCTGTTGCCTGTGCCTCAGTGTGGGGCCCTCTAGGGTACTGCTTGCCCCACCGTCCACTCTATCAGCTCTTTGCTACCACCCAGAACCTCCACTCCTCCTAGCCATCTGCTGCCAGAGGTACTCACGGTGCAAGTGGCAGCCTGGGATGACTGCCTCCTGGCCGCAGGCTTCAGTGACTGCCAGGACCAGCAGACAGAGAACCAGGGTTTGAGGGGACGCCATGAGCATCTGAAACACAGTGGGGAGATGTCTATGTGGGTGTGCAGGTGGGATGGTGAGTTCTTTAAATACTGCATTCCAGGTGAGTGAGCCAGGGCTGGCTGGTCTGATAGGTGGTGTGCCTGAGTGGTGCTGCCTTTTCCCTGTATCTACCTTTGTGTGTGTGTGTATGGGTGTGAGCGTGAGCAGCTGTCTCTGGAAAGGACCTGTGTGTCAGCCCTCTGTGCAGTGATTCTCCCTTCCCTGGAATTTCCTTCGCCAACTGGAGCGCAAACATCTTCCTCCCTCCACCTGCCCCATCTTGGCCTGCAGGGCCCTTGTCCACATTCCCAGACCCTCCCCAGAGCGCCTCCTGCCTCAGCGAGCTCACCACTTCCTAGGCCCAGGAACAGAGCGGCTTGCAGTTTTCCTGTCCCTCTGCTGGTCTCCAGACTGTTGCTGGCTCTCCAGGCTTTATTTGCCAGCATTTTGGAGCCACGCCCTCTTGGAGATCGGCTTTCAAGCCAGCCTCCCCTGCCTGAAGCCTCAGAGCGATCCCACCTGGGGATCTTGCTCTTTGAGGTGTGGTCCTTGGAGAGCAGCTCCTGCTGCTTTCTGCTTCTTTCTGTCCAAAAAGCTACCCACAGTCCAGGCCTGGAGAAGTCAGATGTGGAGAGAAGCCTAGGAGCTGGTGGAGTGTGCAGCATGTGTGCAGTTGACGACAGAGGGGTCAAGACTCTTGGCTGAGTTGTGGGCACCTGGGTTCTCTTTGCTCTGTGACCTTGGACAGAACACTTCCCTGTTCAGGGCCTGATCACTCCTAACTTTATTATTATTTATTGCTATTATTTTGAGAGGGTCTGGCTCTGTCACCCAGGCTGGAGTGTGGTGGTGTTATCTAGGCTCACTGCAACCTCCACCTCCCAGCCTCCCAGGCTCAAGCCATCCTCCCCCTTAGCCTTCGGAGTAGCTGGGACCACAGGTGCACCACTAGGACCAGCTAACTTTTGTATTTTTTTGTAGAGATGGGATTTTACCATGTTGCCCACGGTGGTCTTGAACTGCTAAGCTCAAGTGATCCGCTTGCCTAGGCCTCCCAAAGGGCTGGAATTACAGGCATGAAACACTGTGCCTGGCCACACCCCTAATTTTAAAACCACTAAACTCAGCCCTGCTTGCCTTTTTCTAACGCAAAGGAAAGGGACTGGGGAAGGAGATTCTTAGGGCCAAGGGAAATTATACCAGTGGAGGTCTCCTGAGATGTGCTTGGTGGCAGGGCCGGGGGGTTGGGCTGCTGTCTGTTTCAGAGCTGCATGGCCACGGTGTCAGTGGGTGATTCTCATCCTGTGCTACAGAGTGCCATTCTGAGCTGGAGTGCTTCCCTAGCCCTGGAATAACAGGGACCTGACTCCTGAAAGGGCCTCAAGTCATCAACCCCAGCAAAGCTGATCGATTTGTCCAGCTCTGGTTTTATAGATGAGGCAACTAAGGCTCAAGGAAGGAAAGTTACTAAAAGTCACCCAGCTGGGTAATGTCAGGGCTGATTTCAAATTCAAATCTGCTGTCCATCCATGGTGCTAAACTACATTTGAGCAAGAATGTGGCAAGTTGGAGAAAGACCCCTAGGCAGCAGTGGCCAGAGGGGTTGGGGCAGGGTGGCGAGCCAAAGGAAGCCTGTGGTGATTCTGGGCAGCCCCCTTCGGGGTCATTGCCTCACTGACCTGCTCGGAAAGAGCAGGGCCAGTCACAGACTGCTAGAGCTAGAAGGCACTTTATAACTCACCAAATCCTACCCCCGCATTTTCTGGATGAGAAAATAAGAGCTCAGCGGAAAACAACTTCCCAAAGCTTCACTGTAAGCTAGTCAGAGTCAGGGTGGGCACTCAGCTGTGCTTCTTAGCAGCTTTGTAAAGCAGGCCATGCTTGGGACAGTCCAGTAAAGGCTGTAAACACAATTTGAGAGGAATTGATGTTACTAATGTCACTAATCCTTAAATTCCCACACCCTGTGGTTTCCCCATCAGCCCCCATCCCCTCAAGTCCTGGGTCCTCGATTGCCAGGTCCTCCGCAGCAGTCCATCTCTTCTCTTCTCCCCGCCAAGGATGCAGGCAGCATAGCAACAGGATGCAGCGGGAACTCAGCAGTTCAGCCCCTACTCTCCCACTCATGAGGGGCACCCTCTGGCATGTGACAGATGATGACTTCTGTATAAAGCATTTGGGTGACGAGGCTCATTACCTTATGAGGTAGCCCATTCTAATATTGGACATCTCTAACAAGTAAAAAGTGACTCCTTTGTTGTGAGCTAAAATGAGTTTCCATACATTTCCATAGATCATTTTGGTTCTCCACGGCCACACAAGGCTAAAGTGTCTGTTACAGATCAGTCCTTTAGTTGAAGGCAGCTCAGGTGCCCAGGCTTTCTCCAGGGGTGCCAACCTGGATTGACTTCCAGTTAATCTGATAAACGAATCTGCATTACTGTCAAACAGAGGGATAGAGAGGTGGGAAACATTTTGTCTATGGAGAGGCTACCATTTGGGGCCAAACTGGAACCGGGGAAGAGGTCTCTTGGGTGAGCAGGGCTCAGGACAGTGAGTCTTGAAAGACCCCATTCCCTAACCTCTGGCACAGAGTCACCTATCCAAAGTGATCCTGTGAACAGTAACCAGGTAGACTTAGGGAAGTTTCATGCATTTTCTCTCTATCTTGAGGGAAGAATTTGTTCTCTCTTACTCTATTCCACTAAATTCAATCAATAACTCTTCATAAATAATTTATTGTCATTAGGATCCTAAGTGCTGAAGACAAAAGGCCTAAACGGGCCCTCCGGACATGAACATTTTAGAAAGTTCCATTCTTAATGTTTTAAATCGGAAAAAAAAATATATAAAGGGGCAAAGGACAGGATAAAACCACAGAGGACTCAGCATGGGGACCTCATTCTCCATGACTGAAGTGTCATAAGAAAAGGAAAGAGTTGGAGGAAGAATGATTCGGGAGGAGTCACTGCAAGAGATGATCCTCTTTCCAGCGCTGCATTTGGAAGGCTCAAGAGTGGCTGCTCTTCCTGAAGAAATATCGAAACGGGAAGAGAGAGCTGCAAGAATGAGAACAGAGTAGGCTGAGGCTCTATGAGGTCTCCTTCCCTTCTCCCCATTTCCCATTAGTGCTTCACTAGCTAGGGCATTTTTGCTCTGGGGAACCATTGAATGGAGATTCAAGACTGGAATAGCATTTGAAAAGGTACCCAAATTAGATTATACTCAGGAGGGGGAATAAAACAAAAGAATTGCAATGGGATGGCAGAGAGAGAGAGAGAGAGAGACATTTGCTAACTGTCCTCTGCAAACACAACCTAGATTCAGAGGGGAGAATGGAAATATTTTGTAACCAAATCATCTGAATGGCTCAAGTAAACTAAGAATAGACTTTGTTCAAATTAGTGTTTTTGTTTGTTTGTTTTGAGACGGAGTCTCACTCTGTCACCCAGGCTGGAGTGCAGTGGCACGATCTCGGCTCACTGCAAGCTCCACCTCCCGGGTTAAAGCAAGTCTCCTGCCTCAGCACCCCCTAGTAGCTGGGATTACAGGAACGTGCCATCTCACCCGGCTAATTTTATCTTATTTTATTTTTTTTAATCTCGGCTCACTGCAACGTCTACCTCTCAGGTTCAAGCAATTCTCCTGCCTCAGCCTCCCTCCCAAGTAGCTGGGATTACAGGCATGTGCCACCATGCCTGCCTAATTTTGTATTTTTAGTAGAAACGGGGTTTCACCATGTTGGCCAGGCTGGTCTTGAACTCCTGACCTCAAGTGATCCGCCCACCTCGGCCTCCCAAGGTACTGGGATTACAGGCATGAGCCACCACACCTGGCCCAAGTTAATGTTTATGGAGCTTGGCTTTATCCTGGACACATCAGGGTGGAGGTGGGTTGTGTAAAAATAAGTAAGACGCAGTCTTTATTAAATGCACAATTAGGGCTTTTGTTCTCAATCTCATTTCCATTGTCTATCTTAGACATAAGTGAGAAGCCTCTGTGAGTAATCTGCTTTCTTTTCTATTCTAATTTCCCTGAAAGACTCAATGAGCTGCTCTGAGCTGGATCTCGAGTCTCATGGCCAGATAGAAGCTGTCTTACCTTAGAAACCCAACGAAGCCGCTGGCTGCTCGCTCCTTAGGTGGAGGTGTGTTGTGCTGCAGGGGTGGGACAACTGGCCCTGGCAGGCTGTGCCCCCACTCAGAATCTGTAAGGAAAACAATCAGGCAGGAGCAAGATGTTTGTCCATAGGCTGTTTTCATGTGAGTAGAAGGCAAAACACCCAGTATGAGCCAGAGGCAGTCTCACACCAAGAGTTCCTTAAAGCCAGGTGAATTGTTTGTTCTGACCTTCCCAATTTCATCTCAGCTCAGTAAGATGCTATTCTGACCTCAGAGTATTTTCAGTCAAGCTCCTGGGATATTTACACAGCTCAAGTTCCAGCCATGCACTCTGGCTGCTATGTCTTCACATAAAATGACAAGTTGTTGAAGGACTCACTTGCCTACATCCCTGTTTCTGTGATAACTGCAGTCCACATTGAATCCTCATGCTGGGTAAAAGATCAGCAAGTAGGGAGGGCAATAGCTTGACATGCATTCCCAGCCCTTGCAAAGTATCCATTTGCAACTTCAATATTAACTCTAATGCCCCAAAGGGAAGAGATAATTCTCCAACAGTACAGAAAAGGGAAACACATCCCTCTCAACATTTCTATAAAGTTTATCACCTCACTTGCAAATGTTTTGAAATGGTCAGAGCATAACTTCACTATCAGAAGCAAAGGAAGGGCATGCACTGCCTCCCTTCACTATTTCTGGGAGCTGGGGGGCTTCTATTACTCTAGGACAGGCCCCCCGACCAGAGTTTGGTTAACAAGCACCTCCACGGGAGCAAGGCACATTACCCACTGAGGGCACCCAGACTCAGCTCTGTGCTGCTCTACGTATCAGAGAACTACAAGGGAAAGGGTGATTATTAAAGCAGAATAAATGGAAATTTCCCAGGACCTACCTTGTTTCTGGACACCAGTGATATCAGAGGCCAGAGTCTCCTGCAATCCTTGTTGGGCTTTTCTTTCCCTGTTCTGTTTAAAAGAACACCAAGAAAAGTCTTAAACTTTACTCCTACACTGCATGGCAATCTGAATGCTATTTGCTGGTGAACTGATTTCACATTAGCACTAGGGCCTGGCTTCTGACTGCCTAGATAGGTTCTGTATTTCTTTCCATTTCTTTCCATAGGACTATCCTTTTTTCTTTTTCTTTTTGAGACTGAATCTTGCTCTGTTGCCAGGCTGCAGTGCAGTGGTGCCATCTCGGCTCACTGTAAGCTCCGCCTCCTGGGTTCACGCCATTCTCCTGCCTCAGCCTCCTGAGTAGCTGGGACTACAGGCGCCCGCCACCACACCCGGCTAATTTTTTGTATTTTTAGTAGAGACATGGTTTCACCATGTTAGCCAGGATGGTCTTGATCTCCTGACCTCATGATCTGCCCACCTCGGCCTCCCAAAGTGCTGGAATTATAGGCATGAGCCACCGCGCCCGGCCAGGACTTTCCTTTTTTCATTTCAACATCCTAACTATTGTCCCTCTAAAACCGTAAGATTTAAAAGCCAAGAATAAATCAAGGTGGGTTTAACTTATCATCCCATGTTACTGAGTGCCTACTCAGTAACATTAGGTTTCAGAAATCAAGAGGACCTTAAATTGACCTTGGAGAAATGTATACTCTATGGAGCAAATGGACATAAACTAAGTCAAGACAGTATGATGGCTGGGCATGGTGACTCATGCCTGTGTAATCGCAGCAATTTGGGAGGCCGAGACGCATGGATCATCCGAGGTCAGCAGTTCGAGACCAGCCTGGCCAACATGGTGAAACCCTGTCTCTACTAAAAATAGAAAAAATCAGCCAGGCGTGGTGGTGGGCACCTTTAATCTCAGCTACTCAGGAGGCTGAGGCAGGAGAATCGCTTGAACCCAGGAGGCAGGGTGAGCCAAGGTCGCGCCATTGCACTCCAGCCTGGGAGACAGAGCGAGACTCTGTCTCGGGAAAAAAAAAAAAAAAGAGTGTGATAAGACCAACGAATCCGTATAGAGTGCTGTGGTTGCTGAAAGGACATTAATGGAGCAGGTGGCGTTAGTCAAGGAAGGCTTCACAGGGGAAGTGATATTTGAATGGAGCCTTCATGGATGGATGGATGGATGAGTGGGATGTTGTCATAACGGGGGTGAGGAGGTGGTCAGTCACAGCAGGGCATTCCAGACAGGGACATGATGTATGAGGGCACAGTGCCATTAAAGAATAAATAGGATCAGCATGGCTAGAGCCAGGCATGGTAGAAACATGACTGTGGCATTAGCAGCCAGCATAATGTAACACAATCTTATTATTTCTCCATGTGCTGCTCCTTTATATAAATTTCTTTGTATTCTGAAGAGGACATTTTACAACCTGATTCCAGGCCCACAACATTTTCCAGTAAACACCCTGATAATCAGAAATATGGTTATTATATTTTCTTTGGGAATCTCTGCCACTGGCTACTACTCTCTTCACCCAGTCTGAACCTAGGGGCTTTACCCAGCAATGATGGAGCTCCTCAAGCTGTTTTGCTGGTGAAGAGTTCTTTTTTTCTTTCTTTTGGGTGTGCAGTTCTGTGAATTTTTTTCCCATTTTTTAAAATTTATTTTTTATTTCAACAGGTTTTTGGGGAGCAGGTGGTGTCTGGTTACATGAATAAGTTTTTTTAGTGATGATTTCTGAGATTTTGGTGCACCCATCACCCAAGTAGTGTACACTATACCCAACGTATAGTCTTTTATCCCTCACCCCCTTCCCACTCTTTCCCCCAAGCCCCCAAAGCCCATTGTATCATTCTTAAGCCTTTACGTTCCCATAGCTTAGCTCCCATGGCTAAGAGTTCTAGAGCAAGGGGCTGCAGACCGTAAAGGTAGGTTCTGGGAGGCAGAGGCATGGCAAGTCTCTAGAAAAGCTAGGACTAGCCCCCATCCTAAGAATAAACTTCGGGTTAGAATGGCAGCTATCTCTGAACTGAGCCTCTTCACAAACCGCTCAAATCCTAGACCACATGGGCAGCTACCTAAGTCATATTCCTATAAAAACGACAGGGAACTCTGGGGAGGAAGGAGACCATTCTTACCTTTTCTATAGACGGTGGAGATGGAATTTAGAGGGCCAAGCTCTGGTTTCTGGCTTGAGGGAATGATTCTTACAAATTTAATGAAACTATGGTTCGGGGCTTTAATCCTGCTGCATACAGTAGCCCTAATGAAAGCATCTATTAAGGGTGGTAGGAGGAACAAGAGGGCAAAGGCCCTGGGACAGAGGTACAGCCTACCTCTGAACCAGGGAAGAGTCCCCTCATAAGACAGTGTAGCCTTTTTGTGATCTCCCAAAATCTTGAGAGATGTCTTCTCAAGAAAAAGTCATAAGGGAGGAAAAACATTATAGCTGGAATTCAGACTGAAGGTATCATCTGGGACCTCCATCAGAACATAATACTCTGAAAACCTGATGTAAGACTGTCCTCTGCATGTTCAGGGCCAGATCTGTTTAGAAGTGCAGTTCAAGCAGATATAGCAAAACAACAACAACAACAAAATGCGACGTGCAGTTAGTCTGTTTCATTTCTGGGTCATTCATCTGCTCCCTCCCATTTTTTTATCCTTCCAAAGTCTGGATCTCTAGATCTGGGACCTGAAGTAACAAAGGCAAGGGGGTTCGGCTCTTCCTTCCCATTCTCCCTAAACACTTCTTATGAAACAGAGGTACGTGTTGTATTCTTCTAAGATTTCCCCACACAGGCTCCCAATGTGTTCAGACATGCACGTGCACAGTGACTGTGATTCTACACCATAACTCCCTGCAAAGGGGGCAGAACATATTAAGCAATGGACCATAGGAGCAAATTCAATTTTTCCAGCTCAAGTGACTTATACTGAGAGTCACTGTGATCACTTTAATTTACGAGAAATCATCTTCCTGGGAACAGGGTCCATGATGGGCCTTGAGTCAAAATCAATAAACATGTTCCTTTTACTAGAGTTTTTTCTAAATCCAGAATCAGGTTGAAAAGGTAATTATGTTGAGTAAGAAGCTGTGGGTACTGTTCTTGAGGGAGATGATGTGTCAAACTAAGAATAGGAAGATACGAAGTTAGAGAGCGAGGAAAATGTTCCTTTAATAGTAATTATCTTGGCTGTATAAAGTGTTTTTGTTCTCCAGAGCTTCAAGTACTCCTCATGTACTTTCTCATTTCTTTTTCTTACCATCCTAAAGGATGGGAGGCATAGAAGGGGTTGACCATCTGCCCAAAATCACTCAGTGGGCCAGCTGGCCACAGCACAACTGGGGCCCTGGACTCTGCCCCCGCACACAGAGGCAGAGGTATAAATCCCCAAAGATACACTCCTTCCCCAACTAAATTACAAGCTCCTAGAAAAAAGAAATCAGGGTTTACATATGTTTGTGTATGCCCCAGCACCCAACACAATGCCTTGTGAGCAGGAGACAGAGCAATCCCTTAGAAATAAAATAACTTAATTTTTCTACTTAAAAATGTTTTAGAGAAGTCCTGTGATCTTGAAGGTAGTCTCAAGGCTTTTCATGATCCAGTCCATTCTGACTTTTCCAGTAACATTTCTCAGCACTGGACTTCAAGCTACTCTGGGAATCCTTCCCTCCTGGCCACTTTATGCTCCCTTTGTATCCTGTGCTTCCTTCTACCCCTGCACATGGCACATCTATCAGTAATTGTCTACCTAGCTGTACACTGCTGGTGTATCCCTGGTACTTGGCACATAGTAGACACTCAAAGAAAATTTGTTGAATGCATCCTGGGCAACATGGCAAAACTCCATCTCTACAAAAAATACAAAAATTAGTCAGGTGTGGTGACACAGGCCAGTAGTCCTAGCTACTCCAGAGGCTGAAATGAGAGGATCGCTTGAGCCTGAGAGGTAGAGGTTGCAGTGAGCCGAGATTGCACCACTGCACTCCAGCCTGGGCAACAGAGTGTGACCCTGTCTCAAAAAAGAAAAAAAAAATTGTTGAATGAATGCATATGTAAATGTTTACTTGACAACTGCTCATGTTATGGGTCCTGGGAAGGTGAAGAAAGTGAGTTGTTTGTGTTTGGATACTTAGGGTCAGAGCAACTTTGGAGACATAGAGAAAAAAAGGAAGGATCTTTTTTTTTTTTTTTTTTTTTTTTTTTTGAGACGGAGTCTCATGCTGTTGCCCAGGCTGGAGTGCAGTGGCGCGATCTCGGCTCACTGCAAGCTCCGCCTCCCGGGTTCCCGCCATTCTCCTGCCTCAGCCTCCTGAGTAGCTGGGACTACAGGCACCTGCCACCACGCCTGGCTAATGTTCTGTATTTTTTTTTAGTAGAGACAGGGTTTCACCATCTTAGCCAGGATGGTCTCGATCTCCTGATCTCATGATCCACCGGCCTCGGCCTCCCAAAGTGCTAGGATTACAGGCATCAGCCACCGTGCCTGGCCTTTTTTTTTTTTTTTTTTTTTTTTTTTTTTGAGATGGAGTCTCACTCTGTTGCCAGGCTGGATTGAAGTGGCACGACCTTGGCTCACTGCAACCTCCGCCTCCTGGGTTCAAGTGATTCTCCTGCCTCAGCCTCCTGAGTAGCTGGGATTACAGGCATTCACCACCACACTTGGCTAATAGTTTGTACTTTTAGTAGAGACTGGGTCTCACCAGGTTGGCCAGCCTGGTCTCGAACTCCTGACTTCAGGTGATTCGCCCGCCTCGGCCTCCCAAAGTGCTGGGATTACAGGCATGAGTCACCGTACCAGGCAAAGAGAGGACTTTTTAACAAAAAGATTCATCGATGCGTGTTATTATGCAGCCACTTTGGGATGTGCTGTGGCAAGGGCATAATAGTTGAATGTTATTCTGCAGACGGTGAAACCCAAGAATGAGTTCAGTCAATTCAATCTGCATGAAAAACCAAGATGTGCTGGTAACCGGAATCCCGACTTGTAACAGCACAGGAATAGCTGACAGCCTCTAAGCCTCCATTTTAGTACTTACTCTCCTGGTTTCCATAGGGGGCTTCTTTTTGCTGGAGCCTTGACTGGAAGTCCCTATCTTGGCCCTGAGGTGGGGGGAAAATATGCAGGGAATGTTACTGGCAGAGGCAATATCACTACATTCAAGCAAATGTGGCCCAAATGAGTATTTCAGCAGGTTGGCTATTTTTATACCACTCCTGGCCGGCAGAATAAATTGGGTGGCCAAATTTTCTTTGGGTGCTGCTTTACTTCACAGCAGAATCCCAGTTTGAGACACTTAGGGATCTGGGGTTTGAGAAAGTGAAAATGTGACTGACAGCAGGTATCAGATTTTGAAATACTTGACTGTGCATCAAAACCCAGAGAAAGGGAAGATCTGAGACCTCACTTACATGGAAAATTCAGTCGAATGGAACACAACAAAGCTTCATACCTCCAAGTACCCTCACATTCCACCTGGCTTGAAAAGGAGCTCCCTATCTCTTCATCTACATGTGCATCTGGAGAGCATGGGGTCAGCTTCCTAGTCTACCTTACTTCTCCTATATGTCTAGGGATCCACAGTGTCCCAGGAAAAGGGTAGCTATTCTCTGTGGGCCTAGGGTGGAAGCATCTTGGGCTACGAAACAAACCACACCTTGGATTATTCCAGCAGCATTCTTATTAGCTTTCTAGGGTGCTAATAAGAATGACTGAATTGTCTTACTGACTCATTTTGTCGCTGATAGAGAACTGAAAGAAGAACATAAGTAGCCTCCACAGTAACAATATGTTAGGGATGGCTCAACATTCCCCCTAATATCACAGTACCCCACCCAATGATTGATACATACCCTCTTGCAAACATTTACATTTTAGTCTGGACTGCCTCTTAAGGTTCCAAAAGCTAACTGCTCACTGGGTAAAATAGAATTATATTTTATTTGTTCTTATTCTTTCAAGAGTTTCCCTATGTTTTTGTATAATATTTTGAGACTTCATAAGTCTTTTGCCTTCTGGTGATATTACCATAGTAAGTATTATTGAATGTGCTGAATTCAATTGTTTAGATCGGGCTGTATTTCTTCTCAGCCTTCATCTTGAGAAGAAAAATCATACTTTGCTGAAAAAGGGACTATGTTCAAATTATATTGTAAATATTAACTTGCTGCCTTTCCTTAGTCCACCCACTGGAATAGGCAGATACTGATGAAGTCCTGAAAAAGAAAGTGACTCGCCCAAGGACAGGATCAACCAATGGTAATAGCTGGCAAAGCCTAATTAGGATGAAGGAGCGAGACTGTCTCCCCACACCACTGACCTGTCCAGCCCTGGCCTGCTGGGGGAGCTGGGCTCGTCCATGTGTTTTCGTTTCCTCATCACAGCTCCTACTGCTTTCTTCTCAGCTGGGACCTTCAGAGAGGAAGCAGATGCCTGTGACTCCTCCTTTCCAGAGTTGCTCCCAGTTCATGAAGGCACAGTGAAGAAAACTCCCCATCCTTAAACTGCCAAAGGCAACTTTTAACACCAGCTTTGCAAGTCAGAATAGACATTCTGTTAGAGACATGGTCTCAGAAATCTAGCCAAGGGGGAAAATACTGTCTTATGTTTACAATTCTGATTGGATCTGGGCAGCAACTGAGGGGCAAAGTAAGAGGAAGAGGCAAGAGCAGGACTTTTTGGACAAAAGAAGGTGATAAAGGCAATTTTCATTTTGTACAGAAAAGGCAAACTTACCAACCCAAGAGGACTGTCACTTATTGGTTTCCCTACAATAGGAAATTTGAGTGTCATAATAAAATAATACTTTTTTTTTTTTGGAGATTAAGTTGCCCAGACTGGAGTGCAGTGGTGTGATCTCGGCTCACTGCAACCTCCGCCTCTTGAGTTCAAGTGATTCTCCTCCCTCAGCCTCCCAAGTAGCTGGGACTACAGGCATGTGCCACTACACCTGGCTAATTTTTGCATTTTTAGTAGAGAGGGGGGTTTCACCACGTTGGCCAGGCTGGTCTCAAACTCCTGACCTCGGGTGATCCACCTGCCTTGGCCTCCCAAAGTGAGCCACCAGGCCTAACGATGATGCTGTTTTACCTGGATTTCTGGCTACTATTTATTTCTTGGAACTGACCCTAGACAAAGACTCCTCATGTGCCCTTCTCCCTTCTACCTGGTACCATTTTCCCTAAAAATAGTGTCTTCAAACTCTCTTCCTCCCTTGTTTCAGAATGACCATAATCTATAAGCTAGAAGGGGTTTGAAAAGGGAGGGGACGATTCTTACTACAAAAGAAAAAAGTAGAACTTCAGCTACCTGTGACAAATGAAAAGGGGAGATATTTTGAGGCAAGGCCTTTGCACCCCTTTTCTTTTCTTTTTTCTTTCTTTTTTTTTTTTTTTTTTTTTGAGACGGAGTCTCGCTCTGTCACCCAGGCTGGAGTGCAGTGGCCGGATCTCAGCTCACTGCAAGCTCCGCCTCCCGGGTTCACGCCATTCTCCGGCCTCAGCCTCCCGAGTAGCTGGGACTACAGGCGCCCGCCACCTCGCCCGGCTAGTTTTTTTTGTATTTCTTAATAGAGACGGGGTTTCACCGTGTTAGCCAGGATGGTCTTGATCTCCTGACCTCGTGATCCGCCCGCCTCGGCCTCCCAAAGTGCTGGGATTACAGGCTTGAGCCACCGCGCCCGGCTTCTTTTCTTTTTTCTTTTTTGAGACAGAGCTAGCTCTGTTGCCCAGGCGGGAGTACAGTGGTGTGATCTTGGCTCACCAGAACCTCTGCCTGCCAGATTCAAGCAATTCTCCTTCCTCAGCCTCCAGAGTAGCTGGGACTACAGGCATGCACCACCATGCCAGGCTACATCATATATATATATGTGTGTGTATATATATATATATATATATATATATATATATATGCACATCTTTTTTTCAGACAGAGTCTTGTTCTAGCGCCCAGGCTGGAGTACAGTGGCGTGATCTTGGCTCACTGCAATCTCTGCCTCCTGGGTTCAAGCAATTCTTCTGCTTCAGCTTCCTGAGTAGCTGGGATTACAGGCACGCACCACCATGCCTGCCTAACTTTTTTATTTTTAGTAGAGATGGGGTTTCACCATGTTGGTCAGGCTGGTCTTGAATTCCTGGCCTCAAGTGATCCTCCTGCCTTGGCCTCCCAAAGTACTGGGATTACAGGCATGAGCCACTGTGCCCAGCCTGCACCCCTTTTCAAATCAAAAGGGTAGGTGTTTACTTGTCCCTCAATCAGCAAAAATACCCATGGCCTTCAGAGAATAAAAATTTGGGCCAGGCACAGTGGTTCATGCCTGTAATTCCAGTGTTTTGGGAGGCCGAGGTGGGAGGATTGCTTGAGCCCAAGAGTTTGAGACCCGATGATGCAATATAGTGAGACCCTGTCTCTACTAAAAAAAAAAAAAAAGCCGGGCGCGGTGGCTCACGCCTGTAATCCCAGCACTTTGGGAGGCCGAGGTGGGCGGATCACAAGGTCAGGAGATCAAGACCACGGTGAAACCCCGTCTCTACTAAAAATACAAAAAATTAGCCGGGCGCAGTTGTGGGCGCCTGTAGTCCCAGCTACTCGGGAGGCTGAGGCAGGAGAATGGCGTGAACCCGGGAGGCGGAGCTTGCAGTGAGCCGAGATCGCGCCACTGCACTCCAGCCTGGGCGACAGAGCGAGACTCCGTCTCAAAAAAAAAAAAAAAAAAAAAATTAGCCGGAGATGGTCGTACACACCCACAGTCCTAGCTACTTGGGAAGCTGAGGGAGGAGGAACACTTGAGCCCAGGAGTTAGAGGTTACGGTGAACTACGATCACACCACTGTACTCCAGCCTAGGTAACAGAGTGAGACTCTGTCTAAATAAAAATAAAATTGGGAGATACCTTTAAGACAGCTCTAAAGTGAAAATCATGGAATTTACTCTAATAGAAGGGTTTATATAATACTTATCTTTCATTCAGTGATTAAGTCAGGCTTTGTACTTTTCATCTACTATTATTTATTTAATCCTTTTAACAACTCAATGATATAGGTAGTAATATTATACTTCACAATTTCACAAGGGAGGCACAGAGAGATTAATTTATCTAACTTCACACAGCTGTTATGTGGCAGGGCCACCAGTATTTGAACTAGTCAATCTGGCCTGGAGCACATGATCCTGACCTGTGCACTGTATGGCTGGAGCCCAATCTGGTAGCCCATTTCACCATATCCAGCTGGCACTGCTAAACCATTTTCTTCTCTGCCATTCACATTCATATCATTCCACTTACCAGGTGACAGGTTTTCATGGAACCATTTCATCTCCACGTATAGAGTAAAAACAAATGGGTAGGGGATCAAGATAATTTCTCCATGTTTGAATTTCAGGTGGGAAACTCTCTCCCATTTGCTTTTATCTGGAAAATGATGCTAAGGAGTAAGGAAAGACGCCAGTATGGATTCCTAAGTACTATTTTAGGGAGAAACTCTCTCTCCTTCCCCTGACCTACCCTCCAAACTGCCTATGGTTTTGCTACTTTCATTTGAGTCTAAAATGTGGGCCGTAGCTCATTTCCAGCCAGAAAAGAAAGGATAGGCTGGGCGCGGTGGCTCACAGTTGTAATCCCAGCACTTTGGGAGGCGGAGGCGGGCGGATCACCTGAGGTCAGGAGTTCAAGACCAGTCTGGCCAACATGGTGAAACACTGCCTCTACTAAAAATACCAAAATTAGCCAGGCGTGATGGCACGTACCTGTAATCCCAGCTACTCGAGAGGCTGAGGCAGGAGAATCGCTTGAACCTGGGAGGCTGAGGTTGCAGTGCGCCAAGATCACACCATTGCACTCCAGCCTGGGCAACAGAGCAAGACTCCATCTCAAAAAAAATAAATAAATAAAAGGATACAGGGAAATACAATGAAGTGTTCTGTAGCAAAGGGCTGAAGATTGTCCAAGTTTCCCAAGACCACGCGGATAGAATCCTGAAAAACATATTTGAAATGACTTTAACATTGTTGAGTCTCAGCCAATCTTTGTTTATATTTGTCACTGCTAATCACATACCCTATATACTATCAAAACTGAACCATTTGCTGTTCCTTTAACATGTGTTCTGATTCTCCATTTCTTTTTTCTTTTTTTTTTTTGAGAGAGCCTTGCTTTGTGGCCCAGGCTGAAGTGCAGTTGCATGATCTCTGCTCACTGCAATCTCTGCCTCCTGGGCTCAAGTGATCCTCCCACCTCAACCTCCCCAGTAGCTGGGACTAAAGGCGTGCACCACCACACCCGTCTAATTTCTTTATTTTTTATAGAGATGTGGTTTCACCATGTTGCCCAGGATGGTCTTGAACTCCTAGGCTCAGGAGTTTCTTTCTTTTTTTTTTTTTTTGGAGACAAGGTTTCATTCTGTCGCCTAGGCCAGAGTGCAGTGACGCAATCATAGCTTACTATGCTCTGCCCTCCTCGGTCTCCCAAAGTGCTGGGATTACAGGCGTGAGCCACTGCACCCATCCTACTTCTCCATTTCTACACTTTTGCATAGAAAGGGAATTTCTCTTCCTGAAATGCCCTTTCCACCCATCAGCACTTGTCCAAATTCAACTATCCTTTAAGGCATAGTTCAAAAGTCATCTCCCCCAGAAAGCTTTCCCTGATTTACCAAGTTGTAATTAACTGTTAGTATCAAACTGAACAGTAGTTAGCCTGGAGTCTTTACTACATTCCACATACAAATGTTTTATATTCCTTACTGGGAGATCTACTTGAAGTAGAATATACACCTGATTTATCTTAGTATCCCTTCTATGGTGTCTACTATCGTGAATAACGCATAACAAGTCTTCACTAAATGTACATTGAATGAATGAACAACACTGGTATTTACTGATATATAGTATTTTGCTTTTGTTTAAGTCAAACTTTTTTTTCCACTCACTTTAAATTTTAATCGATTAGTCCCTAATTAAGCTAATGCTTATTAGTCTACACTAATTAATTTGGCATCATAAAGACTACTAAATTTCTATGGGGAAAAAGTCTCAATTTCAGTCCCAGGCTTGTCATTTCACCCTAAGCTTCAGTGTTCTCATGTTTGGGTTCAAAGAAGATAGAAACTGTGGCCAGCACAGTGGCTCATGCCTGTCATCCCAGCACTCTGGGAGGCCAAGGCAGGTGGATTGCTTGAGCCCAGGAGTTCGAGACTGGCCTAGGCAACATGGCAAAACTCCATGTCTCCAAAAATACAAAAATGAGTTGGGTGTGGTGGCACACGCCAGTAGTCGTAGCTACTCGGGAGGCTGAGGTGGGAGGGTCACCTGAACCTGGGAGATCGAGGCTGCAGTGAGCTATGATTGCATCACGGCACTCTAGCCTAGCAACAGAGTGAAACCTTGTCTCAAAAAAAAAAAAAAAAAGAAATTGTGTCTTGTTTATCTTTGTATTCTCCATAGTAGCACAGTGTCTAGCTTATAATTATACTGGCTAATATTTATTGAGTAATTACTATGGGAAGTGTTTCTGTTTTTTGTTTTTTTTGAGACAGAATCTCATTATGTCACCCAGGCTGGAGTGCGGTGGCACAATCTTGGCTCACTGCAACCTCCACCTCCTGAGTTCAAGCAGGGCTCGTGCCTCAGCCTCCCAAGTAGCTAGGATTATAGGCACGCACCACCACACCCAGCTATTTTTTTGTATTTTTAGTAGAAATGGGGTTTCGCCATGTTGCCCAGGCTGGTGTCGAACACCTGAGCTCAGGCAATCCGCCGACCTTGGCCTCCCAAAGTGCTAGGATTATAGGCATGAGCGACCACGCCCAGCCTTTTGTTTGTTTTTGAGATGAAGTTTTGTTATTCTGCCCAGACTGGAGTATGGAGTGCAATGGCATGATCTCCGCTCACTGCAACCTCTGCCTTCCGGGTTTAAGAGATTCTCCTGCCTCAGCCTCCCAAGTAGCTGGGATTACAGGTACCTGCCACCACACCTGACTAACTTTTATATTTTTGGTATAGATGGGGTTTCACTATGTTGGCCAGGCTGGTCAGGAACTCCTAACCTCAGGTGATCCTCCTGCCTTGGCCTCCTAAAGCGCTGGGATGACAGGCGTGAGCCACCAAGCCCGGCTGTGTTTTTATACATATTAATTAATTTAACTCTCACAAAACCCCTGTGAGATAGGCAATTCTGTTATTCCCATTTTATAGACGAGGAAACAGACAAAGAGAAGTGAAAAAATGTAGTCTAGATTACATAACTAGAAATAGCGGGGCCAAGATCTGAACCAAGGTAGTAGGGTTCCAGAGCTCCTAGTCTTAACCCATAGGCTATCCTGCTTCTCAGTAAATGTTTTCCGGGGTTTTTTTGAGATGGAGTCTCACTCTGTTGTCCAGGCTGGAGTGCAGTGGTGCGATCTTGGCTCACTGCAACCTCCGCCTCCGAGGTTCAAGCAATTCTCCTGCCTCAGTCTCCTGAGTAGCTTGGACTACAGATATGTGCCACCACACCCAGCTAATTTTTGTATTTTTAGTAGAGATGGGGTTTTGCCATGTTGGCCAGGCTGGTCTTAAACTCCTGACTCCAGGTGATCCACTTGCCTTGGCCTCCCAAAGTGCTGGGATTAAAGGTGTGAGCCACAGTGCCTGGCTTCAGTGTTTTCTAAATGACGAAAACAGAATGATAACATCTGACCCCAAACTAGTGAGCATAAGAGAAAGACGCATATGCATATCAAATGCATCTTGGAAATATGACATATGGTGAATGTAAATGCTCTCAAGCTACTAATTATTGAGCTACTGTGTGGCAGGCATTGCAGACATCTATTTCTAATCCTCAGTCTTGAAACAGGCCTTCTTTATTAACCTCATTTGACAGGTAAGGAAACAGACTCAGAGAGGGTAGGTAATTTGCCCAAAGTCAAATTGTGAATGGCAGAACACTTCCCATAGTAATTACTCAATAAATATTAGCTATTATAATTAGAAGCTAGACACTATCCTAGTATGGACACTTCAAATCCAGGTTTGATTGGCTCTAAAGTCTGTATTCCCTCCTCTCTGTTACGCTTCCATGAGCTTTTCACTGCTCAGGTTAACTGAAACAAAGTGAAATAAAGCCTACTCTGCCCATAATTAAAATAGGTAGAACAGCCGGGCGCAGTGGCTCACACTTGTAATCCCAACGCTTTGGGAGACTGAGGTGGGTGGATCATGAGGTCAAGAGATCAAGACCATCCTGGCCAACATGGTGAAACCCCATCTCTACTAAAAATATGAAAATTAGCTGGGCGTGGTGGTGCACGCTGGTAGTCCCAGCTACTTGGGAGGCTGAGGCAGGAGAATCACTGGAACCCGGGAGGTGGAGGTTGCAGTGAGCCGAAATCGCGCCACTGCACTCCAGCCTGGTGACAGAGCAAAACTCCATCTCAAACAAAAACAAAAACCAGGTAGAACATTTTCTTGGTCCTATGTTAAAATAACTCATTCATAATGATGTCCTTGAGGGTCCTGCAAGATCCTAATGTATCTTTTAACACTTAGCCAAAGAGGTACTTTCTTAAGGGTATGACTCAGTTTTGGTTTCACAGAGTTTTGTGTTTAAGTGTATTTAATTGCTTTGAAATGTGGAGGCATATGTCTTAAGAAATCACAATAGTCACAAATCACTGAATTGTGAAGTCAGAAGAGGAAAAGCTAGTTTAAACCTCTCATTTTCCAAATGAGGCAATTAAGATCCACGTTGATATATGATTTGCCAACGGTCACATAGCTAATTGGTGGCTACGCCAGAACTGGAATCCAGGGCCAAACCCGAGAACTCTAACTCCTTGTCCATTGCTTTCACCAATTTGTAAAGCTGACCACCTGCTCAGTCTTCTTTCTGTAGAAAAACCTAAAGCCAGAGGAACTGGGTAGAAAGGAATGAAAATGAAGTCGGAATAAGGCAATTGCAAATGTTTCCAATTAAAATGAATACACAGCAGCCTTGTCTGTGTATTTACAGTCGAGTTTCCTGAACGTCAAGTACCAGGCAGTGGTTGGGATGGTGGGTTTCCCAGAGCCCTGGAAGGAGGCAGTCCTCCGGAATCCTTCTCTATGCCAGCTGCCACAAAAGAGAGCTGCCCAAGGCTGGAAACTCTGGTGAAAACAAAAAGCTCTCAGCCTCAAAGGTGCTGACACTTCAACTAGGAAAACTGAGAAAGAATACAGGCTTTAAATTTCCCTGGAAAAACAGTAAAGTTCCTTTGCAAAGGAGATGTAGCAGGAAGAAGCCAAGTTATCAAGTGGAGGTTGTGACTCAGTTTGTAGGAAATAATTAAAACCTGAATGTGGATGCATCCTTAGCTTAAAGAGTCACTTTTCCAGAAGTCGTATGCTTCTTTCCCTACCTCCAGCTCCTGGATGATGACCTCCTTATTTTCTATCTCTTCTCCTCTAGAAGGTAAACAGACAAGAGACAAGTAAGACATGAAGGAAAGCTCTGGAGAGAGTAGACATTACTAGAGCAAAAATGACACTTCCACTGTGCTAAAGAAGCATAAGTCAAACTGTGTGTGCTGATCCAGTGCTCATGGGGAAGAAGTGATCACCTAGGTGGTGTGGTCTGAACATTGGTACAGAATGACTTCTCGACCTGCCAAGACCTGAAATTCCCACTGTGAAAGTTAATCATTTGTTAGAGCACTTGTACTTTAAGTGTGCTTTGGGGACCCTTAAGGGTCTTGAAGACCCTTTCAATGGGTCTTCAAGGGTAAAACTATTTTCATAATAATACTAAGGTGTTATTTGCCTTTCTCACTGTGTTAATATTTGTAACCATGATTGCAAAAGCAATGGTGGGCAAAATTGCCAGTGCCTTAGCACAAATCTAGCCAGTTGCACTAGGCTGTACTATCAGTCAAAGTAATCTTTACTGCTGCACAGGAAAAAAAAAAAATCCAGTTTCACTGAATATCCTGAGGAAGCAGGAAAAAAAAAAAGCAACCATTTTATAAAATCTCAATCTTTAACTACATATCTTTTTAAATGTTATGTGATAAAACACGAAGTATGCATAAAGCGCTTCTGCTGCATACCAAAATATGATGGTTATTTTAGGGAACTTACATGTGTGACTGTTTAAGCTGCAAACTGAACTGTCTGCTTTTCTTCATGGAATATTTTACTTGAATGATCAGCTAACAGACAAACTATGGTTGTTATTCATACTTGGAAGTTTGACAGACACTTTCTTAAAAATGAATAAAATAGGCATGTCAACTCAAGGAAAAGAACTGACAATACTTGTTGTCAACAATAAATTTTGGGCTTTCAAGTGAAAATTTAAATTTTGGAAAGTTTCCGTCCACCATTTTGAGTTTGACAGTTTCCAAATACCTCAACACTTTTAAGATTGTAGTGATACTAACAAATATTTTTCGATACTGTATAATGAAATGTATCAATATTTGGAGGATGTGCATAATTCAGTGAACCAAAATGTTCCAAACCACCAATGAAACATCACGTTACAAATCATCCCAGGTCAGGCCGGGGGTAGTGGCGCAATCATGGCTAACTGCAGCCTCAACTCCCTCGGCCAATGGATCCTCCTGCCTTAGCCTTCCAAGCAGCTGGGATCACAGGTGCAAACCACCATGTCCAGCTAATTTCTTTTATTTTTTGTAGCGATGGGGTCTCACTTTGTTGCCCAGGCTGATCTCAAACTCCTATGCTGAAGCGATCCTCCCATTTGAGCCTCCCAAAGTACTGGGATTACAAGAGTGAGCCACTGCACCTACCCAGAAGTTCCCTTCTATTTCTAGTTTATAGTTTTGCTTTGTTTTGAGACAGAGTCTCGCTCTGTTGCACAGGCTGGAGTGCAGTGGTACGATCTGCTCACTGCAGCCTCTGCCTCCTAGGTTGAACTGATTCTCCTGTCAGCCTCCCGAGTAGCTGGGACTACAGGTGTGCACCACCATGCTCAGCTAATTTTTGTATTTTTAGTAGAGACAGGGTTTTACCATGCTGACCAGGCTGCCCTTGAACTCCTGACTTCAGGTGATCTGTCTGATTCGTCCTCCCAAAGTGCTGGTATTACAGGTGTGAGCCACGGCGCCCAGCTATGTGTGTGTGTGTGTGTGTGTGTGTGTGTGTTTTTAAATTGAGTGTTTTTATCATGAAAGGGTGAGGTGCTGGGTTTGATCAAATTCAGTACAGTGGCAAGATCTCGGCTCACTGCAACCTCCGCCTCCCGGGTTCAAGCGATTCTCCTGCCTCAGCCTCCTGAATAGCTGGGACTACAGGTGCATGCCACCACACCCAGCTACTTTTTTGTAATTTTAGTATAGATGGGGTTTTGCCATGTTGGCCAGGCTGGTCTTGAACTCCTGACCTCAAGTCATCCATTCACCTCGGCCTGCCAAAGTGCTGGGATTACAGGTGTGAGCTACTGCTCCCAGCCTGATTGTTTTTTACCTGCTGAAACCACCCTGGTACCCCTGGGGTAAATCCCAGGAATGTAAATAATGCCAATCTTCTCAATTTTTAAATATAATTTTATTTTACTTATTTATTTTTGAGATGGAGGTTAACTCTGTCGGGCAGTCTGGAGTGCAGTGGCGTGATCTCAGCTCACTGCAACCTCCAACTCCCGGCTTCAAGTGATTCTCGTGCCTCAGCCTCCTGAGTAGCTGATATTACAGGCGTGACCCATCATGCCCGCCCGGTTCACTAAATATAACTTTAATAATATCATATTTGTTACATATATTATTCTTAAATTAATAAACTGTTTTAAATTTTTGCTTTTTTTTTTTTTTTTCTTTTTTTAAGACAGAGTTTCACACTGTTGCTTGGGCTGGAGTGCAGTGAGCCTATCTCTGCTCACTGCAACCTCCATCTCCCGAGTTCAAGCGATTTTCCTGCCTCAGCCTCCTGGTTAGCTGGGATTATAGGCACCTGCCACTACACTCAGCTAATTTTTTGTATTTTTAGTAGAGACAGGGTTTCACCATGTTGGCCAGGCTGGTCTCAAACTCCTGACCTCATGATTCACCTGCCTTGGCCTCCTAAAGTGCTGGGATTACAGGCCTGAGCCAGTGCGCCCGGCCAAATTTTTGCTTTAATTTTTATGACAAATATTGACAGATTAATCAAAAGCTCTTTGGGGTCCTTAATAATTTTAAAGAGTGCAAGTTGGGTGCGGGTGCCTCATGCCTGGAATCCCAACACTTTGGAAAGCTGAGGAGGGAGGATCCCTTGGGCCCAGGAGTTTGAGACCAGCCTGAGCAACATAGTGAGACTTCATTTCTACCAAAAGTATTTTAAAATTAGCCTGGTGTGGTGGCACTATGCCTGTAGTCCTAGCTTCTCTGGAGGCTGACCCTTAAGCCCAGCAGGTCAAGGCTGCGGTGATCACACGACTACATGTGAAACCCTGTCTTGGAAAAAAAAAAAAAAAAGAACTTAAAGAAAAATTGCAAGGGAGTCCCGAGATGGAAAAAAAAATTTTTTTTTGAGACAGAGTCTCATTCTATAGCCTAGGCTGGAGTGCAGTGGCACAATCTCAGCTCACTGCAACCTCCGTCTTCCAGGTTCAAGCGATTCTCCTGCCTCAGCCTCCCACCACCATGCCTGGCTAATTTTTGTATTTTTAGTAGAGACGGTGTTTCACCATGTTGGCCAGGCTGGTCTTGAACTCCTGACCTCAAGTGATACATCCACCTCAGCCTCCCAAAGTGCTGGGATTATAGCCATGAGCCACTATGCCCAGCCCTGAGATGTAAAATTTTGAGAAACACTGCTTCAAAGATATGTTGTCCTAGGCTGGCTGTGGTGGCTCACACCTACAATCCCAACACTTGGGGAGGCAGAGGTGAGAGGATTGCTTGAGGTCAGGGATTTGAGACTAGCCTAGACAACATAGAGATCTGCTTCTCTTTTAAAAAAAAAAAAAAGGTTGTCCCTAATTTAGAAACTCATATGAATAATATATATACTGGGAAAGACAGTCCTGCAAGATGCTACTTTACCAGTCTCCTGAGCTGGGTGAAGGTAGAGAAGAGGTGACCTAGTCTCCTGAACCGAGTGAAGATAGAGAAGAGGAGACCTGTGGGAATGCACGAGCACTAACTGGTGTTTACATAGGCTACCCTCCAACCTTTGAAATTACCTGATACTGTTCCCATATCTGATTTTGAATTTATACACATTGGGTCCTGCATGAAGAAATCTCGTCTCTGGAAATGGGTAGGTAAAGGGTTTTAAACTCATTGCTCCCAAACGACAGCCTAAATAAAATAGAAATATTAGATAATTACTAAAAAGCTAATGATTATTCCTTATTTACAGGAAAGGGAACCCGCCCAATCTGTAACATCTCTTCATGAGTAAAACGTCCAACACTCATCACTATTGCCTATGAACCAGGATCATCACCTGGAGCATTCTCCTACCTGCATGGGGAAAATACAGTGTGTTGGGATAATCTTTATGCTTGCAGTTAAAAGCCCAGAATTCAAGTTTGATCATTTATGGCCTTGTGTAAATCATTTCTCTTCAAGAAGACTAATGATACTAGTATCTGCCCTGATGACTCACAGGGTCTTTGTTAGAATTAAATGTTTCTCCCAAGTATCTCTTGAATCTGTTCTTCTCTCCCATCTCCACTTTCACTGGAATCTCAGTGGATACATAGAGGGCTCAAGTTAAATAATGACACAATCCAAAGGATACACCAATTACAGGCCAATTAGGAGGATGTTTGCTATCAATTTTAGATGAAATTAAGATATTACTACAACTTCCTGCCACAACCAATGTAGCAAATAAGGGTGTACACTAATGTTTTTGAGTGGCACCAAGGAATGGCTTATTTTCTAGATCTATCAATTACTCTTCCTCTCCCCTACTTGTGAGGCTTCCCTGTGTCCCAAGAGTGCCTACTATACCCCAGCACTTATTGTTTTATTTCTCCTGTTCTACAATCTCTGTCCACTTAAGGTCCTCTCTGTGGGAAGTTAAGGAAAGGAAAGAGATGGGAAAAATAAAAATAAATAATTAGAGGAGATCCAGAGTTCCTAATGATCAAAACTAGTTATATTCATTAGTACAAGTATACAAATATACATGGTATTGCTTTCAGAGGCAGCTGAGATGGAGTCAACAGAACAGGCCCAAAATAAGGAGAATTTGAGTTTGAATCTCATTCCAATGTCCCTAATTTCTCTAAGCCTTGGTTTTCTTTCTTACACAATAACAACTCTCAATAACAACTTTTGCCATGCCCTATTCTAAGTTTAATCTCAATTCTCACAACAAGCCTATAAGTCTAAATTTGATAGGTGAGGAAATCGAGGCACTGAGGGATGAAGTAAACTGCCCATAGCTATATGAATGTTGGAATTTGAATTTATTTTTTTTTTTTTTATTTTTTTTGAGACGGAGTCTCGCTCTGTCGCCCAGGCTGGAGTGCAGTGACCGGATCTCAGCTCACTGCAAGCTCCGCCTCCCGGGTTCACGCCATTCTCCTGCCTCAGCCTCCCGAGTAGCTGGGACTACAGGTGCCCGCCACCTCGCCCGGCTAGTTTTTTGTATTTTTTTAGTAGAGACGGGGTTTCACCGTGTTAGCCAGGATGGTCTCGATCTCCCGACCTCGTGATCCGCCTGTCTCGGCCTCCCAAAGTGCTGGGATTACAGGCTTGAGCCACCGCGCCCGGCCTGAATTTATTTATTTATTTACTTATTTATTTATTTTTTGAGACAGAGTCTCGCTTTGTCGCCCAGGCTGGAGTGCAGTGGTGCAATCTCGGCTCACTGCAAGCTCCGCCTCCCGGGTTTACGCCATTCTCCTGCCTCAGCCTCCCGAGTAGCTGGGACTACAGGCGTGCACCACGACGCCCGGCTAATTTTTTGTATTTTTAGTAGAGACGGGGTTTCACCGTGTTAGCCAGGATGGTCTCGATCTCCTGACCTCGTGAAACACCCGCCTCGGCCTCCCAAAGTGCTGGGATTATTACAGGCGTGAGCCACCGCGCCCGGCCGGAATTTGAATTTAAACTAAGGCAATACAGATCCAGAATTGATATTCTTTTTTTTTTTTTTTTTTTTTGGAAACAGAGTCTCACTCTCTCGCCCAGGGTTGAGTGCAGTGACCGGATCTCGGCTCACTGCAAGCTCCGCCTCCCAGATTTACCCCATTCTCCTGCCTCAGCCTCCCGAGTAGCTGGGACTACAGGCGCCCGCCACCTCGCCTAGCTAGTTTTTTGTATTTTTTAGTAGAGCCGGGGTTTCACCGTGTTAGCCAGGATGGTCTCGATCTCCTGACCTCGTGATCCGCCCATCTCGGCCTCCCAAAGTGCTGGGATTACAGGCTTGAGCCACCGAGCCTGGCCCACAATTGATATTCTTAACCACTTTGCCAGTCTGCTTCCTGGGGTTATAAGGAGGAAAAAACAAGATAATAAACATAAAATCACTGTTTAAGTAGTAAAATATCATATACACATAAAGGACTATTTTCATTATGCTTTTCTCCATATTATTCTGACGCCATTTCTACTCAGCAGGGAAAACTCTTCTATGGTAGAGTCACAAGTACTACGTGCCCAAAGAATGGAATTTCCCACAATTTCCAAAGTTCAAGTCTGGGGCTGCCAGTAAAGAGATACCCCAGTGTCTGATCTTGGCTGCTTGGGATTAGAATGACAGGAGATTGGAGCCAGAGCCCATGAGACTATTTAGACTAGAATTGCAGTCAAAAATGAAAAGAAATAGTTGTGCCAACTGCAAAGTCCCCAGAGGGGAAATAGTGATCATATCCTGAGAAAAAAACTGATGCCCCATGCCAAAGGCATGGCAGGAACCCAGGCTAGTTTTGATGTTTTAGTGCCAGATGACTCTTCTCAGTAGGCAGTGAGCCCACTTGGTGAGACTCACATTACTGCCACAGAAATTTAACTCTTAATTCTGAGGATTCTCTTTTTGTTTTTGTTTTTGATTTTTTTTGAGACAGGGTCTCACTCTGTCATCCAGGCTGGAATGCAGTGATGCGATCTCGGCTCACTGCAACCTCTGTCTCCCAGGTTCAAGTGATCCTCTTGCCTCAGCCTTCCGAGTAGCAGGGACTACAGGTGCATGCCACCATGCCCAGCTAATTTTTGTATTTTTAGTAGAGACGGGGCTTCACCATGTTGGCCAGGCTGGTCTCAAACTCCTGACCTCAGGTGATCCGCCTGCTTCAGCCTCTCAAAGTGCTGGCATTATAGGCATGAGCCACTGAGCCTGACTTTTTTTTTTTTTTTTGAGACGAGTCTCGCTCTGTCGCCCAGGCTGGAGTGCGGTGGCATGATCTCTGCAAGCTCCACCTCCCAGGTTCACGCCATTCTCCTGCCTCAGCCTCCAGAGTAGCTGGGACTACAGGTGCCTGCCACCACGCCCGGCTAATTTTTTTGTATTTTTAACAGAGACGGGGTTTCACCGTGTTAACCAGGATGGTCTCTATCTCCTGACCTCGTGATCTGCCCGCCTTGGCCTCCCAAAGTGCTGGAATTACAGGTGTGAGCCATTGTGCCCAGACCTTTTTTTTTTCTTTTCTTTTTTTTTTTTTTAAGAGACAGGGTCTTGCTCTGCCATCCAGGCTTGAGTACAGTGGTGTACTCATAGTTCACTGTAGCGTCAATCTCCTAGGCTCAAGTGATCCTCCCACCTCAGCCTCCTGAGTAGCTAGGACTACAGATGCATACCACCATGCCCAGCTAATTTTTAAAATTTTTGGAGACAGGGTCTCACTATGTTGCCCAGGCTGGTCTTGAACTCCTGGCCTCAAGTGATCCTCCTGCCTCTGCCTGCCAAAATGCTGGATTACAGGCATGAGCCACTGCCATCTGGCCAGGGGATTCTACTAGGATGCAATTAACTTGCCTCCCGCCCCACCCCCAACAGAGGGATGGGGCATCAGAGCAAAGGAAATAAAGGACATTTGCTCGAAATGACAGTCCAAAGAGGAAATTTCACGTGCTGTACCACAGCTGGCTGTCTGAAAGAATGAAAAACAGCCCTCTTCTAGCTAGGGCCTGTTCCTGTTAATTGCTGGCTGCCCGATTCAGAAACAAACACCATACACTAATTATCTCATTTGAAAATAAAGATTAGACAGTGTATCCCAAACAACCACATAGGAGTAATGGTTCAAATACTTCATGGGGTTATTTTCCAACATTGAGTACTGTGGCCATAGTGATACTATGTCCCAGTAACTATTATTAAGTTGATGAGATCTTGCATATGAAGGGTCAGACTCTCCTCACATTTTTAGGTGACCACAAATGATGGCTTTAAAACAAAGGAAGAAAACTTACAGGCAGTATGGGATAGTGCAAAAGACATAAGATTTGGAATTGGAGGACTAAGGCTTGAGTCCTGCTTCTGCCTCTATTAGTCATTAGTCCCTGAGCAAGTCACTTAACTTCTTCATTTCCTAGTTTCTATGTCTACAAATGGGGATTCCAACAACCCCTGTAATGTGGGGATTAAATGAGGTAATGCTGTAAGTAGCTACTTTGTAAATTCCAGAGTATTATATAAATATTAGCCATTATGATAGATTTGAAGAGTTTCTCCCTAATGCTTCACTAGAAAAGCAAATTCAAGGCCGGGCATGGTGGCTCACACCTGTAATCCCAGCACTTTGGGAGGCCGAGGTGGGCAGATCACCTGAGGTCAGGAGTTTGAGAGCTGTCCAGCCAATGTGGCGAAACCCCGTCTCTACTAAAAATATAAAAATTAGCCGAGTGTGGTGGCGGACACCTGCAATCCCAGCTACTTGGTAGGCTAAGGCATGAAAATCGCTTGAACCCAGGTTGTGGAGGTTGCAGTGAGCCAAGATCGTGCCACTGCACTCCAGCATGGGGGATGGAGTGAGACTCTATCTCAAAAAAAAAAAAAAAAAAAAAAAAGCAGTACTTTACAGGAAATCAATTCTTGAGACAGAGAGCACACACATGCAAAACTGATTAGCTTTAATCTCAATGCAAAATCTGACAAATTCCAACCAAGAACTTTTCCTTGAAAATACCCAAGAATTAGATGTAAATGACACATAGGGACTAATGCTTGAAGGAAAATTATTTTTCAAGGTTTTAGTAATTTGCTTCACATAAACATCTGGGTCAGTGCATAGAACCTGAGGCAGGGCCAAATGCTCTATGAGAATAGTAATATTGACTATTGAGGCAGAAGGAGCTGATGATTTAGTACTCCGCTACTAAATATGTCTGGTGACAGTTGATAA